CTACATCAATATTCAGAGTAACCTCTACTTTAGTTCTAACTAACTAAAGATGGTTACATCATTGTAAGGGTTTTTTTTTTTGAAGTGAAACAGAAGAGTTCAAATAAATGTCATCACTTTGCTAGAAATTCAATCAATGAGCATTGTGGAAGTGAAAAATTGACAATGATAGCCAAGCATTTATATACCATCATGACTTTAACGACATTGTTTTAGGTCGAACATGAGGTAAAGTTTGGTATGCAAATGATCCAAGGATCAATAGAGAGCAATATCATAATTGTTTAATATCCATTTTGCGTCCACATTGGTTGCAAAAAGCTCAAAAATGACGATGTGAAATATCAACAAACCAAGAAGACAGTTGCTTCACATTCAATCCTATGTCAAAATCTTTAAAAATCATAACGAATACTAATTTATTAAGAATTGGATGAATTATCAATTGCTTTTGCATTAAGAAAAGTAATAATTCTTCCAAAAAAATGTTCTCGGAATTCATTATTAATTAAAAAGGTATAAGTACACTTTTTAATTTGTCATTTTACAATCTGCACTATTGATGTTGTTGTGGAAGTTTACTTTTTAATCTAAAGGAAGACAAAGAAGACGATGCATTCAAATCAATCATCAAGATCAACATCATGAATTTATTAGAACTTTAGCAAAACTGATCATATGTGGAAACAATTAAGTATTTTTTGTGATTCAATCTTGTCATGCAACACGTGTTTGTTGTATGATTGTTTTCGCAGATATCCAAGATGATCGAACAACATGGTAAACGATCAAAAATTCAAAACATAACGGCTTCAATGATCATATGATGGCTCAATTTGATAGTGGATCAATTTGTGCATGTTTCTTACTGTTGTACCAAATATCATCTTTGATGTATTCATGGATACAATAATCTATGCGTCTTTCCTAGTTGCTAATGCAAGTATTCATATTGGAGTTTTTATTTTGATTAGCAAATTTGCGTTTGCATGATAGACATATTGTACAACTTCCATCTCATGATGGATCTATTTTTTTAACTACAACTGCTCAAAACTACGTCAGATTCCACTTAATAACGTGTTTTTATCTTGACGTCAAAAGATTATTTTGATCATTTTTGATAACAATATCTTTCAACTAATTTACTTAACCTCTGTCTATCTAGCACACGAATCATTGATGTGACAACTATGACTTGTGCACTCTAAAGAAGCTATAATATCATCTTGAATTATCTCAATTTTTGATCTAACTAATTAAATATGATTACATATCTACATCATAGTTTTTTAACGAATTGCCGTCACATTCTTTTTGATCTAATCTCTAAATCCGATCATCTCTTAGCAACGCCAATAGATGTCAAAACTGATAATAGACATTGCAATCGATTTGGATATTCATTCTACTACAGATACTGTGCTAAACGATCTTCCATCAAGATGTTCTATTTGTCGCAAAAGATTTTGTCCTCATGCCCATCCGCAACCAAGATTTGTGGGCATAGTATCTAAAAAATGAGCTCTTCAGAAATGAATAACAAAAATATCAAAAAAGATCGACAACTTCTTGCTTGCAATTGTGGCGAACGGATTGCAAACTAAGGCAAATAGTACTTTTTACAATAATGAGCGAGGCGATGGATCAATATTTTGCACAAATAGACAAATATTGAAAGGTGGACATGATCCACAAAACAAAGAGCAAAAATTATAAGCTGCTTGTTGTCTACGTAAGTGAGAAATAGACTCGACAATCACAACAAGAAGAATTTTTTTAACAAGTCATAAGTTTGATTGAAGGAGTTTTGGTGCATTTGCGTCAACTGTGCGATGTACTTATGATGATGTTTTCATATACATCCTTGATTAAAAGTCATTAAGTGGAAGAAATACTACTGCCGCAGTAGTCCAACGAGACTTTCCTCGTCATATATTATGCATGCAAAGCAATTCAAAATGCTCAAAGTGATTCTCGCCAAGAAATCAAACAACAAATAATAAAAATATTCATGAAAGAACTGCCAATATTAAATAAAAATTTGTGCCAAAACTAATTTAATTCTAGAAAACTTCACATATTTTAAAGTTTATGATATCTGATCTATCATCATCAAACTGATTGTCAAAGTAAGAGAAGCAAGAAAAATGTACAAAGTATGATAGAAACAATCACATTAAAAAACCAAAAAGAGTGGGACACTCTTTTATTATTTATGAAATTTTTATATAATAATCAAGTTGAAGCATACACAAAAATGTTTTCATCTACGGTGCTTATACCATATTTTTATCAAGTTTAATAGGGCTTCAAAAAGGATAAAAGTTTTTGACAAAAATATTCACAATCACAAATTTTGTGCATAATTTTGTGCAAATTTTGTGAAGCATATTCACAAAATTATATCAAATCCAAGAAAAGTGACTATTGCTTAGAATAAATTAAAACAACATGCAAATGCGCACTAAGGAGAGTAGTTTTGTCAAATAAGTAATGATATTTGGTTATTTATAACAATTATATTCTTTATAGTAACATCACATTTCAATCATAAATTCAATAGTACTTTTTTGATATTGAGATGTGTTGATGAAAACTTTGAAAATCTTGACACCGTGATAGAAACATTCACTAGTTTGTTTTGAATAACTTTATTTCTTTTTTTGAAAACTTAAGTAAAATTGTCAACTATCTATCAATTTCAAATTAATATTTATAAAGAAAAATAGAGCTAATAGAGTAAAATTAATGTTATGTACACTCACATTAGATTTAAAAAAAATTATAATTTTTTTATTCTTGTGTAATTTGATTATATCAATTTTATGAATGAATCACAAAAGTACTTATTGTTTTGTCTTATGTATGGTGCTCATTTCATAATTTCATCAAGTTTGATGACAGTCTTGAAAAGAAAAGCTTTTTATCAAAATATTTGCACAATTTTGTAGATTATATTCAAAAAGATCTATTTCAAATCAAAGAAAATTTGACAATAGTTAAGATTTGATAAAAATAGCATGCACATGTTGTATACAAAAAAATGATATTTTAGACAAGTTATCATATTTGATCATATACAAAAAACTGTGTTTTATGTGAAAACATCAAAATTTAACACTACATTCATTGATCTTTTAATGATTTTGAATTGTGTGATAAATTTTCATACAAATTAAAATTTTTGTCACATTTGAAAATTCATGTTTTTTTTTTATCCGTCATGATTGCAAACACATGTAACCAATCAAAACAATCCATCAACTAATCAGCACCACCTATTCTTTTAAACTCAATAGCTAATCATAAGGATATAGTGTAGATATTTAAGAAAACAATTCAAATTCATAAATATTTCAAAATAGAGTTTTTCATTTAAACTTTAAATTCAATGATTTGAAGGAGGTCAAAATTCAACTGAAAATCTAGTTCATGAATCTTTGATAATTCAAATTCTTGATTTTACATGCAAAGAGTACATTGAATCTTAAAAGTAGAAGATTTTGTTATCATTTTTTGGCTAGTTATAATGAAAATAGAGATGACTCAATATTAAAACAAAGCTTCATTATATTGTAATAATTATAGTTTTCATGTGAAAAATCTCTCTATCTTGTAATTAGAAATAAGTGTGTTAGTTGACAATGATACTTTAACCATTTTTGTTTTTTTAAATTAATTATTGAATGTATCAGTCGAGAACATCATGTCAACTATTTATATTCCTCATAAATATATTCGCCATGTCATCAATTCACTTTGAATAGAATAGATGATGATTTCAAAATAAATATATCAAAAGTTGAAATGATATTGAACTAGCTTTGTAACACTTTTTATCATATTTCTAACAACAAAATCATTCTAAGTTGGATTGCTCCGTTCAATTTAGAAAGACATATTTTTATTGAAATATTAGGTGTTGATTGTGTTATATAAGCCATTTGAAATAATTTTGTGGTGGCCTCGAGGAGGTACATTTCTTTATAAAGACATTTCTTTATCTTGGAATTATGTGTTTGTTTGTTTCATCATTCCATACTCAGATTCCTGAAGTCATTCGAAGCAATTAGATGGTGGCCAAGAGGAGGGACATTTTCTATATGAAGACATTATTTTATCTTGGAAATAGCGGGTTGTTTGGTTCATACTTAGATTCCTGAAGTAATTAGAAAGAATTTGGTGGTGGCCAAGAGGAGGTTCATATTCCTGTGGAATGTAATAAATTCTGATGTGGAAGAATCCATGAGAAGATGATTTGGATTCACACTATATGAGTACCTGGAAAGCATATAGTTGCTTGAAAACCCGAGTAGTTTTGACCTTCTTGCTCCAACAAAGTTGACCTGATCCTGACTGATATTGAGTCTCATACTGCCTTTGACCTTGCTATAATTATACTCCTTGATAGCAATTCTTCACTCTCTGGTTCAGTTGAATGGATTTTGAGACCCAAGATTAAAACCAATTAGAGAACAATTTTGCTAGAATTTTAATTGCCATGGCTTATTGTCGATGGATGTGACTTTGTTGCTTCGAACCGTTTGACGTAGAGGTTGAGTTGTTTTATATGTAGTACACCTTATTTTCCATCGTGATATTTGGTGTCAAATCATTCTCGATTACCACGATTATTATTTTTAGTAATGGAATTGAGTAACGTAATCTTGGCATAAGTTTGTTGTCATTGTACTGCTGGATCCATTAGCTTTCGTAACATGAAGTGACAAGTAAGAGTAAGTAGCCAGCGACAGTTCACGGAACGTGAGGGTGAAGGAGACCCGAGCGCAAGATTGTGGCTGTGATGTGAGATCACATCCAACATCGACCGTGGTTCGCCCGTCGTTACCATGCAAGGACGAAGACCGAGTTGGTGGGCTGATTGGTTGGATGGTTGGTTGGTCGGTCGCGGCATAGATCGGACCGATGGCGATTCAAGCGAGACGGGGAAGCGCAAGCAATCGGATGAAGGTGTGACGACGACGAAGGAGGCCATCGCCGACAAGATGACCGAGTCGTGTGTCCGGGGACTAGGGGCGGGTTGGGGCTGGGGCTGGGGCTGTGCTGGGGATGGGGATGGGGATGGGGCCCGAGTACGATAGATTTCAATGTCCGGGAGTCGTGCTCGCGCCGTGGAGCTCGCGAGAAGAATCAATGCTGCGAAATGCTCGTCCTCGTCAATAACCCGCCGCAAGACGTGTCGGGGTCTGCAGTCGTTTATGGCTTATCGCATTTGTGAATAGATGACTGTCGGGCCAAGTCACTCGCACGTAAGCACCAACGGTTGCAGCAGCAGCAGCAGCAGTCGATCCGATCGACAGCCCGATCGATCGGCCTCCTTTCGCCTCGCGAGTATCCAGCACCTGTGAGAGCACTATGTGCGCATACAGGAGATGTCGGCCCTTCCGCTGAGCGACAGAGAGCTCGTTCCGGTTGTGCGAATGACGTGGCCCCGATCGAGGTCGTCATCGATAATCCATCGAGTCGTTGCCCCTCGAGCTCAGGTGCACGAGAAGACGATCACTCGGTCGCGGTCGCCCGATCGAGATCGAGCTCGAGCTCTTCCCCGTTCATAAGCCGTCTAAAGCATTTCCGATTCCTCGACCGCGCATGGGCAAGTGAGTGAATTAGTGGGTGAGTGAGTGGGAGGCGAGGAAGGCCGATAGATTTCGAGCGCTGGTGCTGCTGCTCGCATTTTCTACGGTTTCGACCATGTCTGCAAAGGATTCGGGGGTGGGGATGGTGCGGCCGCGCTCCCCCGGATCGCCATCGTCGCCTCGGCCAGCGAAGGTGCAGAAGGTGTCAGGATTGCGATGGTCGGACAAGCTGCCGAGCGAGGACGAGCGAGGGCCGGCAGTGCCCGCCGCGCCTCGGGAGCCCGTGGTGATCCGGGAGTTCGACGCCAGCAATCCGCAGGAGGTGGCGCACTTCACCTGCGCCTCGGGCGAGCTTCTATGGGGGCATCTCAACACAGCCATCGAGGGCTCCATGTCCGAGCTGATGGACACGGGCGGCGGCCCGCACGACACTTCCACCGGGGGCACCATCCTCCAGAGCACCTTCCGCTATCGCGCTAAGGCGCGCAAAGGTGCTTGGAAGGTGGAGCCGGCCTTCATCGGCGACTGGCACATCGGCTATGTCTGCTACCACGAGACCGTGAATGGGCTCGACATTCTGCGCCAGGCCGCCAAGGTCGGCATCTGCAACAGCAGCGATCATCCGACCCGCGACGTGGTCTACGTGAATCGCTACGACTGGGGCCACTGGCACTCCCCGGGGCTGCAGCTCGTGCTGGACACGCTCGGCCTCGGCAAGAGCGAGGACGATGTCCGCAACCTGGGGCCCAACAATCCCGACGCGAATTACCTCTGGCACCTCATTTCCACGCGCTTCCTGCTGCTGGATCCCATAGGGCTGCCGGTGCTCATCCAGGCGCTGAAAGACGGGGAGAAATTGCAGAGGAGGAATTATCTGTTCTCGTATCCTCCTCCTTCCGCCGAATCTGCAGCTCCTGCTCCTAATGGATCGGTCGCCGAGGTCGAGGGGGAAGCCCAACCCCCTGAAGCTGATTCCTCTGCACCTGCGAATGCTTTGAATGCTGGGAATGCTGAGGCTGATGTCTCTGCTTCTGCTTCTGAAACAGCCAATGGATCTGCGGGAGAGGAGCGGAAGGGCGCTGAAGCTGCTGAGTCCACGAGCACGGATGGTGCTTCCCGAGACCATTTTGGGTTGAATTTGGCGACGAAACATACAGAGTACGAGTTAGGGTGGATGATTTTCGAGAAAGGAGAATTAGTGGGATTCGTTTACGATGGGGAGTATAGTGCATTGGAGATTTATCCCGAGGGCAGCGAAATGAGGCTGGGTGGGAAGGTCGTGCCGCCGCCGGATCAGGCCTCGGATGAAGAAGAAGATCCTCCTTACTCCCCGTCGACGGCGTCAGAGTCAACGGATTCCGAGGCATCAACGAGATACTATGTCGGATCGGAGGACGAGAGCGAGGCAGGCTCACAAGCTGCTTCGGGTCAAACTGGAGCATCGAAGGAGAATCCTGGAGATGAGGAGGAGGAGCTGGGTGATGAGAACATGTCGAAAGAGACTGCGGAAGCACCTAAAGCTCTCGAAACCATCGTCGAGGAAGATCCATCGGAGCCCTGCGAACAAGGGACGAATGCAAAGGGAGCAGCTTGATCCTGGGCATGATTTGCCCAAGGGTTTAAGTTGTGTCACAGAAGATTTGCACTTCGAGTCTTCAAATTTTTGATCTTTTGGAGGGGCTGTATGCTTGATTACCCTCTCCTTCATTTACATCGTGCTCCATGTACATTACATGAGACAACTGGACAAGTACAATTTTATGTGCAACGAGGGAACTGCGTTGTCCATATATTTATTCAAAGCAGTCGATCACACTCATTCAGGTCACACACAGTGTGTGCTTAAAGCAGAGGTAAGATTTTGAGGTCGGAAAACTCTGAACAATTTTTGTCCTGCTATCTTACTGATCCACTAATTTCGCTTTCTTCTAACGAATCTTTGGTGCCTCCCCGTCTCTTGTTGCATGAATGGGGGGATTATCCTTTTATTTTGTATGAGGTTGCAGAGGTCATTTGTGGCTTTATATCACATTTTACCTCTTATACTTCATAGGAAGTGCATTTGAGTAGAGTATGTTTTCTTCCTTCGACTAGCGATGATCCGACCTTTGGCTTTGAAATGAGTAAGCAGCAAATTTGTCTAATTTGATATTCTGTTGTTGCTACACGGAATCGTGAATGTTCAGACACTAACACGTGAGGAGTAATGCATGTTAACGTCTGAACATTTACGATTCAGAGTCACGGCTTAAGCCAGCTTAAGCCAGCTGTAAGTCGCGGTGGATGCTGTAGCTCAGCAATGAAATACGAACTTTCATTTATTTCCACAGAACTGAGCAATGAGGAGACTGAAAGTTATGAGAACTACTTTCGAGAGAGAGAATTGGAAGAAATAAGAACAGTTGTATGGAATGAGAATACATGTTTGCGTGGTCTGGGAAGCCATCATGGTTATGTACTCTGGAAGGTTGGCTACCTTCATGTCGATTTTGTTTCTCAATCTTGATCTAGTTTGAAGTAAATACTGAAGGCGAGCAACAATGCCTCCTGGATTTGCATTGAGATCTTACTCACAATTGGATTGAACTTCCATCGTTGACAGGGGTATGTTCTCGCATTTTTCTACCTCCACATCCTTCAAATCTGATAATTCCAAAATTTCCTTTGGAATTAAAAAAGACGTCCATTGTATGACCGGTTCATCTCAATTTTTTTTACATATCTGCATAAACATTTTATATCATCAAAGAACAATCAAAATACACGAGCGACTGAAAATTAGCGTTTCTGTTGGTTAAGCCAGATAATGCGGCGAAGGTCTGGTTCAATTCAAAGATTACACCTTTATCTCAGAGAGTTCGAGGACTTGACGGATGTAAAGTATATAAGGAGGGTTCAATTGGAGTTGAAATTGGGATAACTGAGATCCTAAACTTGGCTAAATCTGAATTTCAGATTCAGAAGATGAACACATCTATTCCACTTAGAGGTATACGGTTCCCATGGTCTATACACAGCCCAGCCCAGGGCCCTGACGCCTGCCCCGATACACATACGTACGATACGTAACCGTCATCAATACATACAATACAACAGGTACAATACGAACCCGTCCAATACGTGCTGTAGCCTGTCCGCTGCGACAGGCTACGGCAGTAGGACGCAGCTGACAGAGGAGCGCATGCCGGAATGATGTACAATGTCGCGGTATCGACAAGTGGTTCACGGTGCAGTAAAGGATCCGACGCCGGCGCCCCGCAGGCGTCGGCTTCATTCGGTTGGTGATTCAGAGAAAGGAATCAGCGTCCGTCGCGAAATCGCGACGCCCGCCCTCATCACTGGCCTCAGAGTCGCGAAGGGCCGGGGAGCTCCTTTACGTCGTCGGCCGGCCGGATGCCGTGAAGCCACTGCGGCGGATGGTGTCTGCAAGTGGGGGCGAGCTGCGCGGCTCGGATGTTGGACGACGTTGGGCGTTTGAAAAAGTTGGATGACGTTGGGCATTTGAAAGTTGGACGACGTTGGGCGTTTGAAAGATGGAAAGGGCGTTGGACGACATTGAGCGTTTGAAAGATGGGGACTGGGAGTGACGGAGGCTGCCGATTGGCGCCTGAGGCGATTGAGACTTCCGCGCGGGGCATGCAGCCATTGCAGACTTCGAGATGGAGAGAGAGATGGAGTGGCCGGGGGAAGAACATGCATGGCGGCAAGGTCAGAGGGCTTTTCAGCGGCATGGCCGTCACGGCTTTGGCACAACGCCCCGGGGCACAAGTCAATGAACTCTAGCTGGAGATTCGGGGATGTGACACTTGAGGAATAGAAGTTGATTCTTTATCATTAACACTATTAATCATTGAATATCTGCTATGATTCAACTTATAATATCATCTTACTATCGATATATGAATGTCTTTTGTGATATATAAATATCCACCTGGATGTGTAATTGAAGTAAAGATGGGGTTTACAAAATCTTCATGAATTAAACTGAAGAAGCCACTTTAATTCAATTTCTTACCTATTTTTACAAAGTACTTTTAAACCCTGCCAGGTATTTCGTCTTTAATTCTTTGATTTACAAATTCAATTTTTATATCCAAATTTTATGTTACTTTAAACCTTATCATTGTATATTTCCTGGGTCTCCGACTTTTCTTAAGTATATTCAAAATATAATTTTAAATCCATCAAAAAGTATTCATCGAAAAATTAACAGAAATGATAAAATATAGAAGATGAACAAATATCGAAATATTCAACGAGAGCTTACCTCATGACCCCAATGGTTGTGAAACTTATGTTAATTTCGTTTTCATTAACCAAAGCTATCAACCTATACAGGTTAAAGTATGCATTTTTAAAACAACAATTCAACGTAAGATTTTCGCATTAGACAAACCAGTTATGGATTTTATAAGGTGTAAATTTTGTTTACACCGCCAGTTCAGAAAGAATTATCCACAATATACACAAATTGTGTTACATGACTACAAGAGTGAAGTAAATGAGATACTCAGTGCACTATGTTTGAGAAAACATTGTCATGCAATTTTGATCATATTCAAGATTAGAATGTATCTAGAACAATTTTAACCTAAAACTACTATTTACTTTCAAGAAACTAAGGAAGAGTTTAGTACAACTCTTTACAAAAACATAGAACAAAGGAAGTGCAATCCTGTATTTTATTAAATTGGATAAACTTGATAAGAGAAGAAATCTCATGCTATGATTAATACTCAGTGATTGGTTAGAAGACTTTTGACTCATAAACTGACAAGGAAAAAACAGGTGGAGCATAATTTGATAGAAATTATATTTCTCCTGTTCTATTCATAAGATAAGATAAACAATTTCATGCTATGATCAATGTGCTTCCCACTGAGCAAAAATTTTGGACTCATAAACTGACAAGAAAAAAACACTGTACGGGTGAGAAGAAAAACAAGTGGAGCATAGTTTAATGGAAATTGCACTTTCCCTGTTCTTTTCATCAGATAAGAAAACACATTTTTATGCTATGATCAATGATCAGTATGTTCCAACTCAGCAAACATTTTGGATACAAGATATTGTATGCATAAACGGACAAGGAAAAACAAATGTATGGAAACAAAGAAAAACTAATGGAGCATAAATCAATAAAATCACATTTCCTCTGATCTATCAATCAGAAGATCATTTATACATGTATATCTTGCGATGATCAATGATTAGTCTGCTTCCCACGCAGCATATTTTTGTTCATAAGAAATTAGACTCATAAACGGGTAATCTATATCTGAAAACAAAGAAAAACGAGCGGAGTTTAATTCAATGGGAATTGCATTTCCCCTGTTCTTTCAGTAAGGTAATCTTGATGAGAAAAACGAAATTTTTGCTATGATCAATGATCAGTCTGCTTCCTACCCAGCAAATTTGTTAGATATAAGAAAATAGATTTATAAATGTACAAGGGGAAAAAATTGTCTGGAAACAAAGAAAATCGAATAGAGAATCATCAAGGGGAAAATTTCATTTCCCCTTGATAAATATACTTTTTCTTTGGGGAAAATCAATTGCATTTTTTTCTTTCGTTTTCTTTTTATTAATCAGATAATCTTGATAAAAAAACGAATTTCATGCTATGAGAAATCTGCTTAGCACTCAACAAATGTATTGGATATATAAATAAGACTCTTAAATCGCCAAAGATAAAAACTTCTTGAAAACAAAGAAAAACGAATGGAGCATTATTTAATGGATATTGCACTTCCCCTGTACTATTAATCAGATATATCAGAATTGAACATACTTTAAGCTTTGATCGACTGATCATTCCCACTCAACAAGTTTATTGGATATAAAAAATTAGACTTACAACCGGACAAGGGATTAAAAATATAAATGAGCAACGAAACAAGAATTGCAAGAAAAAGAAGAAAACAGAGCAGAAATATATATATTTTAGAATTAACTTTTTCAATTCTATTTCCCTACGAAAGAAAAGTGAAATTTTTAGTATTTAAGGACTCTGAAAATGCGATACGAACAAACTGTGCCAATTTGCCCTAACTTCTTTACGTACCACGAGTGAAGCATCCAAACCTTTCTTCCCGCGAGTCCTCAAGCAAAGCTAAAAAAGCGTCAGAAGCATCCAAACTTTTCTTCCCGCAATCCTCAAGCAAAGCTAAAAAAGTGTCAGAAGGGACTGCGTCCCTCATTAACAAAAGTTTCAACTTAATTCTAGATATCGAACAATTCCGCTTGAAATCGAACTTTGAAATTTTAATGTTAAGGAAATGAAAAATATGGCAGAACAGATAGCTGTATATACTAGAGGCTTGGAAGTACCAATTAGACTAAACATCACATAGAACGAGCATGTGTACATCATACATTATTCAGAAGCTCAAACATCAAGATGCATAGATGACACAAATTTTATCAAAGATCTGTCATCTCTGTATTTGGAAATAAAAAGCTCATACTCAAAAAGATAGTTTGCTCAATATCGGAAACTCTTAATCAGCTCTACAGATGTAGATACACTTGTCCTTCACGAGGATAGAGAACTGGAAATTAAAGGTAAGAGAAATTATCTGCACAATGTAAAATTTTACAAACTTGAAGTCTGCCCAGGTTCAGGTCGCGCGCAGAAGTGTCTCATAGAACTTGATGAGCTGCAAGAGAGTGCATCAAATGAGCTGATTCTTTCATACAATGGATGAATACTGACAAGAAATACAATGTTCGAAAATTGCACCTTACCATCTGGGAATGTTCCTTCTTCAAGGTTTGGTTGTCTAACAACTGTATCGAACCATCAGACCTGGATAATAAATTACAATCAAGCCATATATCAATAACTAGGATTGATTATGATCCTGTGAAACTCAGATTGAAAACTTGAGCTAAATCATATGAGGATTAATGTGAACCTCACCAAAGGACCTCGAAAAGCACGTCAGCCTCCTGTTCATTTGTGGGAGGCAGAGTTCGAAAGGCAATATGTCTTGCTCTCAGAATCTTGATCAATTGTGGTGATGCCCTCGAATGGAGACCCTCGTTGATTGGTGGCTGCACATCGGGGACAACTGGATTCAGTGTTGAGCGTGTAGTTTCCGGTCCTGTCTTGATGACTCCGAAATCTTGAAGACCAGCACCAACCAATGCTCTTGTTGACATGTTCTTCGCAGCTTCATCAGGTCTTTCCAGCACTTCAATACCCTGCTCTGGGTCCACTGGTGGTACCCGCGTCGGAACAGTTAGTTTCCTTCTCTTCGCTCCAATGACTGCTTTACCTCGGTCCTTTGAGCCACTTGCATTCAATCTTACAACATCAGAGTCATAATCTTTGTGTACTGGAGACACAACTTGTATAGGCTTTCCCATGTTTGATCTCCCCGTAATCAGCTTCAATCGATTCTGCCCACCACTCAAATGATCTTGAGGTTGATCATCTTCACTTGGAAGGCAATTTATATCGATGTCAAATTTCGGCAGCGGAACTTCCTCTGTGTGAGTGTGGCTTGCAACTTCAAATTTCGAATTTGAAATGTTGGGATTGTTACCTGTAACTGTATCTATTTGCAGGCTCCCAACATTCAGCAACAAGCGCCTTCCAGCTTCATCTGTAGGTTGATCTATGACTCTCTCGGATCTTTTTGAATTCGAAATGTTAGACATCGAAGATGTTCTCTCGGATCTTTTTGAATTTGAAATGTTAGACGTCGAAGCTGTTGCCTGTGTAGGAGAGATGCTCGTGCTGACATGGATGGAGCCCAGTTTCCGTGATTTTAGCAGCTCAGATCTTGTATCATCTTTGGCAATCACATCGTCGCTTCTATAAATAGCAACATCTGGTTGCATCGGGCTACATGGTTCAATAGTATGTCCTTTCTCCTTCAGCATTTCAACCACATATTTCGTAGCAACTTGGCATACCATCGGATCTGAAGCTCTAGTTGCAGCTCCAATACCTCCAGAAATATTATCTTGAGTGCAGATTTCCATATTGGCTTGCTCGGCCTCATCTGGTTGATTTCTTACTGAATCTGCGGTTTCCAAATGGTAATCGTTTTGGTCGGACTGCAGATTACCTTGTCCTGAATCATCATCTTCTCCTCTATCTTCATCTGCGAGGTCGTCAAAATCATCTGCGTTTGGTCTCGATCTGCTGACTTTTTTCTTCTTTCGCTGGTATTTGTTGGATCCTTTCCCCTTTTTGCGTCTTGATTTACAACTGTGCAAAAAACAACATCACATTTGATTATGATCCCATATGTATTCAGCAAATTTACAAGTTTATCACTAAATTCCATCATCATCCAAGAATCTGACATTTACTATTTTCAATTCTAACCCAACCTTTATCGAAAGTAGTAACGGAAGACCCAATGAAGCCATATGAACGGATCTTTAAATTTATAGTGTGGAAAGTAATGCAAGTTTTTTAGGGATATAACCTTTATCATAAATGGTAACCGATTTTAAGATAATCTATAAACTATTGGAAATTAGAGACAACTACATAGAGAGTAAGATGAACAACAATGCAATCTGTAATTGATCAAGGGTACGATTTTACTAGTCTAAGAATTGATTTGCGATAAATTAAAAGATCTACATCCATTTTGGAGGAAAATCACGTACCGCTCCTCAAAGTCTTCCAAATGATCACCACAATTAGCAATATTCTCGTAAGGCTCCCATGTGTTTTCCCTCTCGGGGTATCCGAGCCTATATCCACAAACAGAACGCATGAAAATGTGACATGCATACCACTGATACTCAAATTCAAAATAATTTTCCAAATCAACACAACTTCATTTCTACAGAAACTTATAGAAAACGTCTGTTGTGAGATCAACAGACAATATGCTAGAAGATGCTAGAAAATAAGTTCAGATCAAACTTTCGTGCCCAACGAAAACAATAGAAAATTTATCTACAACAATAACCATGGAATCTCGAAGCAAATTCAGTGTAAATCTCATAATAAGAATGTGTGATTTTTACTTCTAGGATGAATAAAGACTTTTTTTACCCACCATTTGACTAAATATTCGACTCTTCCCTGTCAACAAGATTACAATCAAGTAAAATTGATCAGAGCTTGTAACACACATTCTTGCACACAAAAACAATATCGGTATCTCAATAGTTGAGATACCGATATTGTTGAGATAATAGTTTGAAGAAATGCTTTGACATGCTTAGGGTCAATTTCCCTATTGCTAAAGCAAAAAATATTGCATTAAATTTATCAATTTGGGCTAAATCAATCACAACGCGATGAGGGTTGCAAAAGGTGGTGCTTATTAAAGAGGGAGCTGAAGTCAACATATCCTATTGTGTATAACTGAAAGCTTTAGACGAATTCTGTGTGTTTATTGCCCAATATTATTCATGCTGGTTAGTTGTTTTGTACTACTCTTGGAATACATCAACTAATGCCAGATGAGGAAACATCAACCAAACATTGGTTTTCCTAACACAAGAATCTTCCAAACTTTAAATTTGAGCTAAATAAATCTTTATCCCCATTTTTTGGATAAAATTATGAGTACTTACACGGGATGCTTACTTCAACCGGAGGTTACTGTATGTTATAAGTCAGCCTAGTGTCCTAATTCTTGACATAGGAGAAGGTCATACTCTACATTGTTGTCTTGAGCATCATTGTCGACACACAGTTTGCTACGATATTTACCTTGTGTTGTCGTTTTTTCCGTATGGCTTCCAGCATATAAATTCCAGCTGCTAGAGGCTCCATCAGGTTCACCCCGTCATCACCTGGAGCATTATCTGGAATCCTACTCGCTTCGTTTTCACCTTCCCAATCCATGCCATCAGCATCAGTCTCATCTGGTACCAAAGTAGTTCTTTGAACCCGACGACCTCTTCGTGTTCCACTAGACGGAGGCAAATGAACATCCTTCTTCTTAGAAGCAATATCGAGGTCTGTATAGCCTTCATCGTCGTAGTCCATATCGGTCAGCTCACCAACTGCGCGTTCTGCTAAGTCATCTAAAGATCTTCCAGATGCATTCGCACATAGATCTTTCCCTTGAGTGTAAGCACCAACCCTTTCTGGGCTCGTCCGCTGTTCGTTCGTATTGTCTTCACCCTGCGCTCCAGCTGGTTCAATCGAAGGATTATCGACTTCCTCTTTCACTATATTTGTCTGGCCATTCTCATACTTATTTCCATCAGAACCTCCGCTCAACTTGCCATTGGTTTCATATTCATGAGCCTGCATGTTGAACATTATTTCCACCCGTGGCTGTTATATACACATAGTATGAAATGACCCTTGGAGACTATTGAACTTCTGCTTTGAGGAGCAGATTATAAGCTATTCACTCAGTGGCTGGTAAAGAACACACCAAAATACTTACAGGCAAGCAAGGAAGAACTATACTTCTTTCTGATGCGGACCAACCGCAACAGACCAGAGAGAGAGAGAGAGAGAGAGAGAGCAAGCAATTGTGTTCTTATCTTGGTCATTGCATTTTGGAAGGTCTGAAAAAGACGTACCTGCTGTACACGACTTTGTTTCCGTTGTTTTTTACCGGCGTTGATAAAATCGTTCGACCATTTTGTACGACCAAGTAGGGGATCTGAAGGATCTCTCTCTGCAGTCAAAGGTCCCTTGCTATGAATGTTGGATTCTTCTGGCATGGAAGAGCTCCTGGCTTGTCTTGTGTAATATTGTTTCGTGCAATCCTTCCGCTGAATTCTATTTTCTGTATCCGAATCATTGTATATGCGATGTTTTCTACTTCTCGCTTGGGCCTTCAAATTTTTCTCCCGTTTTCTCTCTGAGATGAAAGCTGACCTGTCAGCAGGTGCCATTTGAGATGATCCTGATTTAGTTATGGTTTATTTTAGAGTCATGCGTTCACAAGAGTCCTGCGAGAGAGAGAAAAGTCAGATTCTAGTATTACGTAGTGAAAAAATTTAAACCGTAGACTAGTAGACTGTATCGAGCAAAAAGAATGGAGAACATCTAGTAACAGAGTTCATTATGAGTAGATCTTCCAGCCACTTGGATCGAATATATTCCGAAGCTACATCACGCTATCAGATCCAGATCAAGATGTATTATGTGTTGTAAAGTTTATGCGGGAAACAGAATTTATAATAAATCAGACCTTCAAGAACCTTATATGGATAAGGTTCTGAAACAAAAATCGGGTTGAGTGAAAATGCTGTTGATCAGTTTCAAACAAATGTGCTAAGGAGACCTTCCATCTAGATTGACTACTGGCTGAACCAAAGCTTTCCGGAATATTGGGCTATAGTCACCTCTCATCTGCAACAACATTCAGCTCGCAAGCTCGCAAGCTCTTGCTCTCCCTTCCTGGATTGGCATGGACCAGATCCCAATCCACACTGAAAGTTGGAACAGATTCCGACAACAACACTCGTCGCTCCTTCGCACCTCCCACCCTTTGTGCATGAAGAGCAGGTGAAACTTGCTAATGCCGTCGAGGTGCTCCTCGAAGAACTTTGACGACTCCGTTTTGACAAAAATTTGTTTACGACGGTGCGAAGCGGAGATGTTGGGGTCGGATGAGCGTAAAAGTCGCTGGCATTGCCAAGCGCTCGAAGCTCGAACGTGGAAATTTGGTCTTACGAAGAAAACATAGAATCTCTAGTCTCGTGACATTATCCACAAGGTCCTTGCAGCATCTAAGCCCATTGCCGTAGTGTCCATGACGCAAGCTGAAGCTTAGGGTTCGAAAATCTATCTCCCCCTCCCTTACTCGCAGCACAACGAACACGTACGAAACCCTACGAAACAAAAGTGGGACAAGCCCTGAACGGCTCCAGTTACAGAACTATGATTACGGCGCAGATCTGTGATTGCATGCATGCAAGAATCTGCGGTCGCAACGACAGGATAAGACTGCGACGTTTGACCGTTCGCCGGCGACTGCGCTGCTTCCAGTTTCCCGTTTCCAGTTTGGCCGTTGGGTCCGCAGCGGCAGCCGCACATCATCATGAGCTTTCCACTCTTTACTGCCTGGACTTTCGATCAGATCACGTGGCGGCGCGACTGCTGTACACCATCTTGTCATGAGTCACGATTGACAGATTCCGAATCCTTGTGAAAACATCCTGAGCCTTGATTTTGCTGCACTTTTCTCGCATCGTGTGCATCCTCTTCATTTATAGCTGATAGGTGCTTATACATATAGACATTGTAAATTTACTTGTGCGTACCTCGCTAGCCATTTCAAATGTTTCCCCAGCGGAAATAAATGCGTTTGGTAACCATGTGTACTAGATTTATTTAGAATTTTATTTTGATAATTCAAATTGGTTAAAAAATATTGTTGCTTTTTGACATGAACGATATTAGACAATGCTAGTCGCTTGTTAATGTATAGGAATTTCTAGATTTCTCTGGAAATAATAGATTGTGATATAGTTGTCCAAAAACTGCAGAGATTGTGACGGAATGCGGAGGAATATAGCCTCAAAGGGGACATTAATGGATATAATAGCAGATCTGAGGATTGTAAGTATGATCACAGAGTTCAAAATAATTAAATTTAGGGCCAGAGATAGCAATGGTATATATTTAAATAAGTATAATGGATTTATGATAAATATGACTACTTTAATGACAGGGATAAATTTAGTTAGAAAGTTAGTATTTATAATTATGGAGCTCGGTTGGCAACGATTAAATCTTAAAGTCAAAACTAATACTGGCTCTTGATAGTTGAGAAATTTAGGGTCCGTCTGAAATTGAGATATGGTGGTGGGAGCTTATATGGTGGTCGGAAGTTGGTCTTTATTTTTTAAGAGGAAATACATATTTTTGAAACATGCATTGAGCTATAGTTTAATATCTACATTTTACATATCAGGCATTACATTTTCAGGAAAAATTGAAGGTATTATTCTGAAGACACCAAATTTAAATGCACTGAAATCTATTAAGCTGTGAATGGTTGCTCACTTCTCATTTATTAGACAATATAGTGTAAGATTTTGAAATAAGATATTTTGAAAACTTTTGTTTTGAAATTTGGAATACAATTTTATTTGTAAAACCTGTTAGTTTACACAATGTTATCCACTGGATACATAATTACATGCAATACCATAGGGTCAATTAGCCCTGCTACTCCCCGTCTGACCATTGATTGACAGGACGGCTTTCCGCGAACTTCGAGCTTTTGAGAGATGAGTGTTGGACACCGAAAGTATGTATGAATATGGATAATAGCAAATGATTATGCTCATTTTTCTAGAGTATTATTCAGTGTAATTAGATTAGTAATGTAGAGAGTAATAATAACAGCAAAACTAGATTTGACTTAAGTTCAGCTTGAAGCTGATCTCGCCATTCTAAGATTTACCCATACGTTATGAAGATTAAAGGTGAGAGAAGCGGGTTCAACCTCCAACCCTTTCACATCTCGGATTCTCTTAAAGATAGGTAAGGCTCAATTAAGCATTGGCAAATGCTGTGATATCTAGATAATTTTTAATCAAAAAACCTCCTGTCAGCACAGCCTAAACTTGGAATGCACTATGACTGATGAGGCTAGCCAGGGAGGTTTTCTTTCCACTCTACATATTTTCTAATCTTGATCTGAAGTAAACCTAAAAGTCTATCTAAGCCAATCACACATACCTCAACTGTTTTGCATGCATCCAAACAACTTGGAAGACAGTGATCTGCGCTCATCAAGTGCATCTGGGAAACTTCTGCTTGTAAAAAGTGGATGAAGCAAAAGTTCTCCCACAGTGAGAAGTGTAGGTGGTAACTTAAGATGGTGTCCACTCATTCATAAGCATGTTCAGTTGTATCAAACAGTGCGTTTCTGCCATAAACATCCCCATTCTAGTAAAATAAAAGATTTATAGAAGAATTGGGACCAGGAAATTTGATCCATAAACAAGACTTTAACTACAAGGCAAGAGACGATGTAAGAATCACATGCTGAGGTTGATGATTCTGGTATCAGGAAGGCAGCTAGTGTGTCTGAAGACAACGGAGTCTCCATGATGGCCTGAAGACTGCACTCTTATGGATAAGTTTTCTGTCTCGGCCCAGATGAAGAAATGCTTGATCCGGAACCAACTGTTGATCTTTTCTTGCCCTTGGCCCACCACGGAGTTCTTTCACCTAGCTTCTTCTCATATTGGTAGTCGAACAAGAGTTCCTCTCCAGCTGCTATATTTCTTTTCGCGAATATGCCCACTCGATGTTCTCCCGCCACCAGCACTACCTGCATGGTCCTCATTTGGTGTAACTTTTCAGTCTTCCTTGAACTAAATACGTACATATGTCTAACCAGCTGAAATACCATCGTTACCGAGGTTCATAACTACACCTCCTCCGCTCTCGAGGTTGAGGTTGAGATCGATAACAGTGTCGTATCGAACCTTAAGATTCATTCTTTCCAGTGCAATAGTGAAGGATTTTGAACCTGCTGCATCATCCCACCAGCAATAAATACACTGCTACTGTCGTATATAATTCGATAAAACTGTACTGCTGTGCTTAGATTTACACATCAAGCTTTCTTTAAATTTACTGTCTGTACCAAGCTGGAATTTACTTACACAAGATAAACTGATCTCATCAACCGGAAGAGCAACCAAAGTACCTTCAAATCTTCAACATGATACATAATAGAAGTGTGACTGAAAGTACTAGAGCAAGAATTTCCTTCAACTAGCAGTTATCATGATGCTGAAAGGAACATGTCGAAATCAAATTTCAGGGTGAGATACTATCGAGAGGAGAGTACCTTTGGATAGCAATTTGGTGTGGAGGAGTGATTGGCAAACTTGAACTTGCTCCCTAGACGATATGCATCGATGACAAACTGCAAGACAATGTTTTGAGAAATTTAATCTCAAAGTATTCATACGCTCCCGTAAAGTGCAATCAAGAGATTTTATTCATGATCTTATAGGAGGGAGCGTCACGTAGAATTTGATATCCAAAGATACTCTCCTCTCGAAAGTATCTCAGATTTGATTCTTCAATTCGACGTACCTTGTCATTCAGATCGAAAAGGAAAGACAAATTCACAATGTCGTAGATTTTTCCTCGTTTGTCTGCTTCACGCTGTGATATAAGCTCACCGGTGTATTCGCCGAGGTAATCATCTTTTTTCGCATCACTCTATATAAATTCAGAGTAGAAAGTCATTATATAAAGGTTCATTTGTGTACTCTTGGCTGATAACTAATGTTTGAGAAGTTGAACAACTTTAAATGAGGCTCCTGCATATCTTGCAAACAAAGAATAGACGTGATTCAAATTGCCAAGAACTAAAAACTATCATAAGTCCAAAAGTACCTTAAGAAACAAGCCCCACCCGATCACATCGGACCTGGCAAGTAGCACCTGCGTAAAGAATTCATACAGAGGGCCATGCTACATCAGAAGAGGCACTTGATTCAGTAGGACTTTAAAATAAACAGTCCTCTAATTGAATGTCGAATTTAAAGAAACGTTCAGCTTCAAACTTTGGCATTTCTGGTGCAGTGCTTTACCGACTTCTTTTGATTCAATAGAATTCTCATGTTTTGGCATTTTGACTGCTTGCGTCCAGATGCAGAGATAGTTGAAGAATCTTTTGAAGTTGTGAGCTCACAGCTATCGAAATGTCAATTGACAATGTCAGTGATGTATCTTTCAAACTCGTAAAATAGAGATAATGATAGTAGGATAGGACCATACTAGTCTTAAAGAAAATGGAATTCAGACACCAATGTCGATATTTACGTTGAATTTTTTTGCCAAGTCGGCTAAAATGACAGTCAGCTTAAGTAAAACGGAGTATAACTTACTCAATAGAACAGTTGCGACAGACATCAGGATCACACTCACGGCTTGCATTAAAGCACGGGCAAAGCTTCGTGCTGCACTGGCTCTTAACACAATTGCATCCCGGAAATCGATTCTTACAACTTCCTGGACACCTAATGCAAGTTTTACCCTTCAGCTTTCAGAATGTTCAATTGAGCATCACGCTATAACAAGCTTGATAGCTAAGTCTCTATGTTAATGATACATCTTTTGACCTCTCTGAAGAATCTTTCGTGCAATCCGTTATAAGCTATGACCACCAAAAGACAAGCTATTAAAGGATTACCGATGAACCAAAGGTATTTTGTGGACCAAGAGCTTAAAGCACCAAAAGTGTCTTATTGAAATAACTCCATGTTCCTAACATTGGATCGTTTAGAAGAAAGGGAGGTGAGACTAGCATTAGCTGCAAAATCCTTGTTGAACTTACCCGCAGAATTTTTCGCATGAATTCTTTCGATCCTTGCATATGCACTGTTGTCCACAAATTAAGCCACATTTACAAGGATAGAATTGATGCCGTCCATTGTGGCCATTCCTCCTCACGATGGTCCTTTGAGACGATATAGTAAACCTCGTTTTACGAGGTGCCTTTTTCTTTTGAGTTTTTGGTCTTTCTGCACCCTGATAGACAGTCATAAACCATAATTCTGGATCAACATGAGCATTTTCGAACCTCTAGATCAATTTGACACATCAAAGAAATCCAAAGTCAAAATTGTAGCATTCTCCAGCGCCATGGTTTCAAACTAGATCGGGTCAGCATCTTAACATGAAGTTCCATATTTCTGTGATGAAACAGGAAGGTCATCGGTGCACTTGTTGATATCATTCACTTCATTCAAATCAGTATCAGCAGGTAGGATGAGTTTTCTGTGAATGTTCCGATGCCTTACCTCTTGGGATGAAAATTCTTCCTGTGGGGTATAACTTCTTTCGGCTTCTACTGTGGCTATCCGACTTGCAACCTCAGAGCAAGTCTTGCAACCCTTCAGCAGGTTCTGAGCAATTAAGCAGCTGGATTGGAAACATTCAGCTATAATATCACAGTCTTGTGTGCTTACTGAACACATGAGTTCAGCTTGGAACACGGATCTCCTGAATACCTTATGTTCTATACGACTACTTTCATAGCGTTAGGTTATCTGCTTGAACAGATTCAACGATGATGTACCCACTATTCCATTCACATGTACATGTCATGTATATGATATCAAACATATGACCTCAATTGTAAATTTCCGTTCAAACACTGCACCGACCTGCTCTTGCCAAATATCTGGAGTCCTTTACAGAAGAGGTCCCTCTCAAGGATGCTCCATGCTTCTTTTCCGGGGATAATATTGAACAGAAGATAACAATATTCACCACAAGGTTGTGCTGGATCATATACCCTCGGCTCTGGATTCTGCAGTTCATTCTACAAAAGTAAACCGTTTCAAATCAGAAATTTATTACATTGTTCTAATCAGTTTTTATCATGTTTACTTGATGGCGAATACTTATCAGAGTAAAATAAAGAAAGAGCGGAAGAGTGTGCTTAGAGTCGCAGGTGATTTGCTCACTTACCGGAAGAATCAATGGTTGAGAGTAGCCATGTAGCTCACAGTGAAATTTCTGAGAATCAGATCAGGACATAGTAAGACGGAGAAACTGAAAATGGATGAAGTCATGTGGAGCTTCCGTTTTCACTTGGCATATTTATGAATGACAAAAATTCGAAGTGATCAAGCCTCGGACCCACCAAGCAAAGACGGCAGAAGAGATTGTCGTATGTACTCATCGCTGCAACCAAATCGATTGGTTCTTTTGTAATTGTTTCTCGTTCGCAGCGTATTCGCACAGTCTGCTTATGTTGGCCACTAGGAGGTGAAAACTGTATTTGGTGTTTGACAGATAATCTATCAATTTTACTGGTAACCTCGAAGTATTCTCCATTCAGTTTAGGAGAATCAATATCTTGCTTTCCAGTCCGCTCTATAAAAGTCTCAATGTGTGACAAGCGCGAAAGAAGCGTGTCGTCCACCACAAGGAGCTCATATCTTTCCTGAAAGACAAAGTCTCAGACAAAGAATTCGCAACTTGGGCAAAAACCTTACGTCGAGAGTAGCAATAAGCTTGAAACAAAATACGGAGGGTTTCCATGTTTATTTCTGTTTCAGTGTACTGCAAATACTATTAACAGTGATAAAACTTTAAGACTTCGTATGTTCTTTTTGTGCGCAAAGGGGGAGAAGATCAAACCTTCACATTAGCTTGTTTTCTCTCCAACATTGCAGAAATGTGCTGAAAGAGAAAATCAGTCACTCCATAGGCTTGGGTTGCCATCCTGTGCATATCACATCATCTTATTTTGTTGAAAAAAGGTGCAGATGTATGTGTTTGGTCACTGTTACGGTTTAAAAACAAATGAAATAAACCGACAGGCATTTCTCGAGGAATTATCTCTAGTCACGAGTAAAACGTCATGAAGTTGTCCTGATTTATTGGAATTCATGGAGATCCGAAAGATGCAGTTACAGAAACAACTTGAAGCATACACGCTCCATCATATTTGGTCACCATTCTTTCGAGGTCAGAACATTCAAGTCGGTGTAGAGAACACCAGTTATATATTGACCCAAGTAGCTGTTTGATATGATTGTGAATGTTAATCGTATGAGGAAGAAGGCTTCAATGTTTCAATTTTTTCTGCTTTCATTCCACTCCAAGAAAATGACTAGCTTGAAACTTATTCCTAACCTGTGGATATATGACTGGGTGCATAGACACAACAGAAGACACAACGTTGGACTTTACGCTGGAATACTTACAGTTGAACTTTTCCATGCTGGTTAATGTTCAGAAAAGATCACTAACGCTAGAACTCAGTACTGTAAGCTGAGAATAATTCAGTGTCCACTGATACTATCACCCCTCAAGAAACTCAGATCCCTCACTTTCTCATGACCAGCGACATCATCTAAGTCAATCATTACCATATCCTTCGCAATTGCGACAATTGTTTCTTCTATCGCAATACATAAGTGCATAAAGATACGATTGTGCAATTAGCAAGTAGGAGATATAAATAAGATGATAGAAATACATACCAGATGACGAAGTCCTCAACATCACTAAACTCTCGCTCGCGCTCTACTGCATTAATTTTATAAGAACGTGATCGTAGTTCATCGTCGGAGTCGCTGGCAAGAACTGTTTCTTTTTTCTTTTTGTCATAATATATCCTCCTTTGGTTTTCGATTGATTGACCTTCCATCATACGCTTATTTCTGCAGAGCAAGTGATTTAAGTACCTCAATCAAATTGGCTTCAATGTAGTCTCAAGGCCACATTGGATTAATGTGGATCGTTCCGATCACTTGCATCTATTACTGGAATCGAAGGAGAGATAATATATATTATTCATAGCAAGTTGAAGGAAAGTGAGCAGGTCCAGATGTCGATCATTGTAAGGAACAACTGAAATGCTGACCACATCTCAAAACTTTTGTGTTCGGTTTCTTGCGGCAGCATATACTACTTGGTTGTAAAATTTGGTCTAGATCGTACCCCTTTGCAAACGTCCAAGTTGTATATCGAGGAGGGACGAGCTGCTCTGACGGCTTTGGTATGGTTCTCTCAATCTCTTTTATCACTTTAATAGGCAAGCTTGAAGGAAGTGAACATGGATCCTCCAAGTCAATATACAGCTGTGGTGGAATCACTTTCTTGATTGTGAAGCCATATTTTCCTCGAAAAGCTGCATGGTTTCGACTGTGTACCGTAGATCTCGTGTATAGAGAGTCTACGTACTGAGCCAGAGTTGAATGGTTGCGTGCAAGCTTCACCTGTAAACAAATATATCCAACCATCTTATAAGAGCAAGGTTTGATAAAAACGTGAATGTTGACTGAATGAATTTGACAACCCTCACATGCAATGCAATATTTCCTACTGGCCATTACATTAAAAAAATTCCTCACTTTTACTGCTTCACTTCGGTTTCTATCAACAGTCGCCTTCAGCTTCTTCAAAATCTCCATTATCTTCGTATACTCCTTTTGTTGTTTCATCATTGAAAGTCAATGATGAGAGAGCGAGAAATAACGACATATTGACAAACGTCTGCAAGTTAGTAGTATTCCTGTATATGCAGACCATCATTATAGATCGATGCATCGATCCTCGATGTTTGCTAGACCATACGCACTCAAAGCTCTGCGCAAAAAATCACTTCGATGTGATATTTATATGTGATTGTGGCGGATATGGAAAAGAAAATACAAGCAAGACGGAAGCAACGCTAGCTTCAGCCAAGGCTCCAAAGTAGGGGGGTAAGAGGAAGCAACTACTTGCGTCACTTTTTCAGCACTTGTCAAATTTTCAAAGGAAGCAGAAGAAGCCATAGAAAAGTTCAGCACCAATATAATTTTGATTTTGCTTTCCCTACCTGAATCAGCTGGACTTCTTCTGCAACGGATTTTTTCCTTTTCTCCCTCGTCTCATAATCAGTATGCATTATGTTTGAATCTTGGAGGTAGTAATCTGAACTCGCATCGCTTTCATCATCCGATTCCATCTTCTCCATCAACAATCACACAGTCTGACTCTTGTTCATCAATGTTCCGATACAAATGAAGCACAAACAATCAGATGATGTAGACACACATCAATGTACACTTCGAGCTTTATATTCTCTCTGGGTACGAAAGTCGTTCTGTAGCTCATCTGATCAAGCAAAACGGCCTACTTCAAACGGAAAACAGAATCTGAGGCTAATCGAAGTTCTAGTAGTCGTACGGTGTATTCTTAAATTAATTTCGAATCTTGAATCTTGAGCTAGCTTCTACGATGTTGTACGAATACGTTGTACTATTCTATCATTTTAACTTCAGATACCGTTCGTCGTTTCACTAAGTCCAGTGTGCCAGTCAGTACAATGGAGTTATTGTAACTTTCTGATCATAAGGGCCGTAATTTAAAAGACTTACCTATTTTTCTTCCAAGCACAACTGTTATTACTCCATATCCACTATATTGAGATTTTCAAATGTGCAATCATTCATACCAAATTTACTTCAGATGGAAAACCAATTGTATCATATCATGGAAAGACAAATTTTTTTTCTTCCACTTCTTTTTTTCAAGAACATTAATAAAACTCAAACTAAAATGCATTAGAAGCTTCAAACATGAAGTTGAACTTTTTTTTGTTCTTCTTCCTTTTTTTAATAGAATGAACTCATTACTAAACTAATGGCCTAGTCAAGTTGATAAAGTTGAGATAATAAAATGTATGGTCAAAACGTAAAGCGATTTGTAGCAGTTTTACATTGTTGCAGTTTCACAAATCAAGTTACATTAAATTTTGAAATATAAAGTTTTATTGATACCATAACGGTTCATTCGCATTGCAAATCTTCCCATATAGGTGGTTTAATTCTAAGTTGAAGAAATCCGGCAGTCCACTTAGGTACGAGGAGATAAGTTGAGTTTCTTTTAATTGTAATTATTTTATGTCTTTCTAATTTTCTATTGACTGATTTTCCAAAACCTCAATCATCAAAACCTTCAAATGAACTAGTTCATATATTTCAGATTCAGATTCTAAGTTGAAGCAGGAAACAAAAAGTCTACTTTCACTGAACAAAACCATCACGTTTATCTCAAGTACTAAACTCATCTCCCCTCATGTGTTATTTTGTGGCACTAGTACTTCAGTGCAAATCAGTCATAACCAGGTAAAGCATAACGACATCCTCCAGCAACCAAATCAATTTCAGGTCTTCGCAAAAGATCCTGAAACTGATTTTGTGGAGCTCGCTCATAACGACAGAGCTGAGCTACTTCGTATTTAGGTGTAATATATGCAACAGCCTTCACATGGTGACGCCCTGAGGGCCAAGATATGGGTTTTTTGAAGAAACGCTGCAAAAACTGGTGGGAATTGGAACTCCCGTAGATGTTGTATGAGAATATTTCCGGTGAGAGCCGAAATTGTGGACGAGGCTTCCAAAGGTTCGCCAAAAGATCCAACCTGGTCCCGTCATTCCGTTGCAATCTGTCTAATATCATGCAACGATGTGCAGAGAGCTGCTTTGAAGAAGAAAGAGCAACGCGCGAGTTTCATCTATCTCTGAATCTACTAACACTCAGCGGTGCAGCATGTGATTAGGTGTATGTACAAACAAGTTCTGCATTTGCCTGCAATCTACTGTCATCTCACCATCATTTCTCCTCGTGACCTGCTTCAGACCTGAGCGAGCTGAATATTCTTATTTTCTTACTAGGATTTGAGGAAGTGCTTTAGGGTCCTACGCTAACTGAAAGGAGCTGGTCCACAGTTGGAGCAAGTAGTTTCTGTTCGCGGACTGTTGAAAGAAATAGTTTATACATATAAAGTCAAGCGTGAAAAGCGAAATATTTATACCAGCATGCAAATTTTGCACACAAAGATTTCCAATTGCTTTGTGTGGATTCACGACGCTTGAAGCACGGCTATGTTATGCAGTCATCACTTTCCGAGAGCCATCTAAGCAAATAGTGTGTTGAAGCCAGTGAAGTCCCCATTGCGGATTACAGGGCAAATAAAACTTCAGTTTTCGAAACAATTTGTTTTATGTTGGTAAGCCATCCATGTGGCAGCTCCCAGCAACTGAACCCGTTTGTCAATGTCAATTAGCCAAATATTGCTGCACGTGAAACCACTCGAACAGAAATATTACAGTAGGTTGGTCTGCAACAGCCCAATAGTGGCAAGAAAGGGAGAATATGACAGAGAAAGTTGCCGACGATTTGAGGGAGCGAGATGCCCTTTAAAGTTCATATCTGCTTGTCACTGTAACAGCAGTCGGCTCATTCATTGGCATTGATCTCATAGTCGAGTTGTCTAACTCTCGAAACTAGGGCTTGTACAATTGTCAACTGTTGACATCATGCACTTAATTTTCGAGACTCTCACGTGATTCCTATTGGGATTTGAATCAAACTTATAGAAGCAGAGATGATCGTGTCAAGGCAGCTAAAGATGACGTTCAGTGCTATGGCGGGCCAGATAGCATCCATTCGCACGTGACAGGAATATCAATTAGATTTGAGAGCATGTCTTACACGTATCTTCTGCATGTTGCGGGTCCTCAAGGTGTCCAAGCTTCCACGACGTCTCCGCTGGGCAATCTAATAATAAAGTGAAATCTTCTACGCTTGCACAGCTCTGGTCAACCTTGTGGCCCGGTTTAACTCAAAGATTGATCGTCATTGGAGGAGAAGCTTGACGTAAGTGGTGCATGTCTTGGACTTTTCTTGATCACAGGATCCAGAAGCCGTGTTTGCATTTTCTCGTTGAGTTGGACATCAACCTCTATAATTCTGTGGATGCCGAACAACGGACAGGACTTCCTCTCTGGCGTACAACGAAGTTCGGACTCAGAGTGCATTGATATACGCATAAAATCGAATTCAGACGGATAAGATTTTGAATCTAGGAGATTGAAGTCTCCACGCACTGATTATACAGAACAGAAGATCTGGAAAGCTGGAACTGAGAGCTGTGGTGGTACACTGCTCTGGCGTAGTACGAATATGAGTTCTGTGGATTCTGATTCATGCATCACAGCAGAATCAAAGCAATCAGATCTTGAGAGCTGGAGTCAAATCCCTATAACCAGCATAAGAAAGAATTAGTCGGATCCAACTCTGACGGCATGATACATCTCCTGGGCGAGTTTCACACTCACATCCACGAAATCAGTCTACATCATTTGGCACTCCAGCTCTCTAGATCTGATTTTCTTGATTCTGCTGTGATGCATGAATCAGAATCCAAGGGATCTGGAGCCATTAATATAGAGAGAGATGCATTCTCAATCTTGTCCAAGAAGATGGACGTCACTGATAGAAGAAGATGGACGTCACTAGAAAGCGGGATCCGAAGCTTATTTTTCAAAAAATAGCTGCCTCTGTACATACAACACATCTGGTACCATACATTCCAGGGTCTACAGTAATCTCCCGCCTAAGTTTGAACCTAGAAGGATTGTGCCTACTTAGTCGGGACATGCGTTTTTTAAAAGAATGAGTCTCAACTTGCGTTCTCTAAGAAACCGAAAGTAGAGACTGCAATTTGAAGAGTTTGACTACAGGTCACAGACTAAACGCGACACAACGCTACGATATCTATGTTGTATATTTTTACGTCGGAATTGTTAACTCACTGATACATGAACTTGTAATTTTCTTTTCCGAGAAAGATAATTAATCTGCTTCCGATTCCGAATGAATAAAGTTGCAGGTTTTTATGACTATTTCAGTCTCTAAAGAAATATACTGATCCATACCAAACCTATGGGAGGTTGGAAATCATGAATATGAGTTCCCACAAGCTTACAGCTACAAGTATGAAAGGGGTTATGATATAATAAGTATGTAAATACTGAATACAATAAAATAACTTACGACTCTCCATGTCTTGTACGAAAACTTATCATCTTGTTCCAAAAACTAGGAAGTGAAGCCCATTTGTGTTTTTCAAGAACTCGAAACTCGAAATGATTCTTTTTTTAACATGATTAAACAAAGATGCTTTTTTTCATTTTTATTTTTTCCAAAAGCCTCTCAAGGCTAATTTATGGTACATATTTGGGACATTTATTATGTTTGACAACATAGATATGTGTGTAATTTAACCATTTTGAAAATTAAAATGATGATGACATTTTAACCTCTCAAGATTAGGACGAAGGAAACAACGGGGATGTAGGGGATTCGAGTCACTTTGTAAGTTGTTGATATAAAGTATCAATTGTTCTTATCAGAGATTCAAGTAGAAGAGTAGAAGGAAAAATTTAATGATCTTAGACAATTGTTTTAATAGTTTCATAGTAAGGTTCCAGCTGTCACTTTAAAAATCTAAAACAATAACCTTCAAAACTTGCGCAAAATGACAATTGATAACATTTTAAACTAAATAAACTTTATCTCTAATTTATGGGAAATATAATGATTACTTATCCGGGATGCATACTTAACCGAGAGATTGCTCGAACTCAACTCCGAATCTTTTCCGAAGTAGTGAACACACCTAAACATGGATATATAGTGGCGTAAGTAGTCGAGGGAAAGGGGGCCAAGTGGTTCAGAAAAAAAAGATGGGAAACCGAATCAACCGTTACAAGTAACCACCCGTGTGGCTGTGCCCCCAATAACATCAGTATTAGAAATATATACTACGATATCCAAATTTTCTGGATCAAACTATAGAGAAAGAGCACGCAAGTATTCAACTAGGTTTTGCATGGAAGATGATAGTGTGAGATTCATATGAAATAAGGTTTAAAGGCCACACGTACATTATGAGTTTCAAGTTGTCATATTTTGTAACTCAAATGTAAAATCTTCTACAATTTTGCAGGTTGGGGTACTTGTGGCAATCTAGTTGTAAGAACTACCTTAGGCATAAGAATAACCCCGAAATTATGAAGGTAATTGGAAATTATGTCAAACTAGCCTTAGCTTGTGAAGATATGAGGTGAATGCTAAAAACATGATGTACACAGTGGAGTAATTTATATCGCTGTTTTTTTCTTTCGTAAAAGGTATAACTTTACTTACAATCATGGGAATGATGTCGTGTTCTTGCTCAATTACTATAATCAGATGATCACATGCATCATCATCTTGTTGTCGTTAGTACAATAGCTCATGATACTTTTCAAAAAATAATAATTTAAGAGCACATACTACGATTGAATTTGTATTCTCAGTAAATTAACGAAGCTCAAATACACATAATATTGGAAACAATTAAACATAAAATTATCTCATAATCTAAAGAACCAAAAAAAGAATTCAAATAGGAAAACATACATTATTTGATTGGAGCCATATGGCTCATGTATTCAATACAACTTGTTTGTACCTATGTGAACAATGTGTGGTGTTGTCACCGTATAATGCGTGGAAACGATAAGTAAATGGTTGATTATATTATCTACCAGTGAGGATCTCTTAAGATCATACTCTTATGTGAATTGTAGACTGAAAATATACATGTAGATTTAAGTCAAATGTATGTATTTTAAACTTGTTTGTAGTGACGAGTTTTAGTATGTTAATGTCATGACGTTGTGTAAAAAAATCACATATTTGAATCTCCAGCATACAAGTATATTTATTTCAAGTTGTAAATTTTCAATTTTTTTATCATACACATTTCAATTTTATTTTATTTTTCGATTTCTTTGTCTTTTCTAAAATTTGTAAATCTTGTAATAACCCAAACTATAAGTCTTAAATTATATATGCAGCCACTTATATCAGACTAGATGTTCCAAAAACCACGTTCCATTCAAAATAGACATTCTGAACTTTGGATCCATGATAACATAAAAATTCATTTCTTTAAAGCTTTGATCAGATCTGAAATGCTTAAAAAAGTTAGATGCAACTTTTAAATGAAGGCAATTATAAGGCAATTAACCATTATTTCAAAGGAAATTTAGATGTTGCATAGATAATTGTCATTGTTTTCATTATGATAAATATTTTCTCCATGTCTCAAATTGTGAATTGATTTTTATTTTAAAGGTTTTGAAGTTAAGAAGTATTTAAAAAAATTCAATGTGTGTGTGTGTGTGTATATATATACACGTCGTCAGTATGATATGCAAAATTCAATATAATGTAATATACTCTATATACTCTTTAAAATATAGAAATATAAAATCAAAGTATTCATATTAGCAACAAAACCTGTCTCCACATTGAACCTTCTTCTGTTTCATCTCTTATGTGCTTTGGATCTTGCAATAATAATGATTTATCTAATGAATAAATGATTTATAATAACAAAGTAAACGTTCATGCATATTAATAGTTTTTATTTTGAAAATCATGAAAATTAATTTTATTGATTGAAATACAAAACAGTATGAAATTGATTATTATCACAATCATATTATGTTTTAGATTTCTTCAAACTAGATTTCACATACATTTTAGTGATATTCATGATAGGAGTACATGAATTTTTTATGTAATACTTTATTTTCATGTGATTTTATGATTTGATTAACACTCAATAAGTTTTTTTGACAATATCAAGATCTTCATATAAATATTCATGATAAATACAAATGAATTTTGAATGTGAAAAGATGATCACAATAATACAAGTAGCATAAGTTCACATTAACACATCAAAATTTCAATTTTTGTCATTTGAAAACTTAATTATTTTTTTTGGATATAATTGTAATGTTAAGACAAAATGTGTACACATAATTACATAAAAAGTATTTTTTCTACTACAAATAACAAACTTATCATTTTTTAGTGAAAATTAATTATTCTATTGTATGCTCATAATTTTTATTTCAATTTTTTTAAAAAAATCTAACATTCAGATTTTTAATCATTTTTTTTATTAAATTATTCATATCATTGATCATTTGCATATAGAATTTATTTTCTATTATTTTAAAATTGATTTTTCTTAGCGTAGAGCATGATATACATTTAAAATTCTTTTATATGTTTAATGTATTCAAGAATATCTGAAATTTATTATTAAATTAAAATCTAGTTAAATTTGACAACTCAAAATTCCGTTGCATAGAGACAAAATGTACTAAAAGTCTGCATTACATTTTAGTTTTTTCAGAAGAAACCACATGTCTTATTGTTTTAAAACTAATTATTGCTCATAAATTAATGTAATAAACATAAGATTTATTACAATTTTATAAAATAATAAAAATTTACATCACAGAAATGTACATTACATACAAAATTTGCGTAAAATCTTTCATATTGTTGAAACATCATAGGACTATAAATTTTGCAATATGTGATAAAATATTTCACATTACTTATTATATTTTGGATATGTTCTGTAATTTTTCTAAAATTTTAGTGAGATTTAATACAATTATATTAATTTTGACTATCATGATTTATTTTATTTAAAACAAATATTTACCTAACTAATAAAGATGTTACATAAAATTGAATATACTTTTCTTTTTGTTAATTGATTGAATTAAAACCTTTTGTCCAATCTAATGAAATCTAAAAATTTAGTATAATTGCTAATATATCTTTAAAAACCACACCATTTTTCATCTTAATGATAGCTCAAATTTTGCTATAGAAAAATGCAAATTTTGCAAAGTTTTTAATTTTGATTAAATATTTAATAGCATGTTTTGTGATGTAAATTAAATGACAAATTTATGATCATTTGAATTGAAAAATTAATTTATTGAGAATTTTATGTCTTCGCATGATTTATCTATTTGCATTCATGTGATTTGTTGCAAATCAAGAGTTTAGAAAAAATTATCTATAATTATGTAATGAATGTGATGTTTGTTATGATAGGAGATGATATAATTTCTTAAATGCAATAAGAATTTCAAAAGCCCAGTTTTAGTGGCAAGTAGTTACTTATGTCCTACTTGTGCAATCATATTTTTAATGTACTTTGCTAAATTTTGTACTAAGCAAATTTTTTTATGTATAGCTTCATTTTACTAACTTTAGGATACTATAAGCAATATGATGTGATTCTCTTCTCAGATGCTAGTGAGCTTTTTGCGGTTGTTTAGCCTAACATTGTCAATATTTTTATTTTTTTGTTCCTTTTTATTGCTCTTTTTATTTTGTTAAACCATTTAAATTTTCTACTCGTCATTAAATTCAAACAACGCATTCTCTTCAATTTGGTTCAGTATATTATCCAAGAACATTAGATTGGCTAGAGCAAGTTGTAAGAAGTAATACTAGTAGGGCTCCA